TAAAGGTAATAACTTTCGTTAAAAGAAGAGACATGGATTATTAGAGTTTAAAAGACAAATCTAATATATATATATATATATATTAATATCTAGTGCCTATTTAATATTTATAAGAATATTATACAAAAAATATAGTTTTATTCAATATTTAAGAAGGTATTATACAAAAAAATATTATCTTATTTAATATTAAAGATTAAAAGGTAAATCTAAAATATGTCTAATCAAATACTGAAGAAATTGGATCAGAATTGATTTTTATTAATTATAAACAAATTACTAATTAAGAACAAATTAACAACTAAGAACGGATTCTGATGTTTTTTATGTTCTTGTTTTTATACTTCTAATGGTTACGAGGGTACCTTAATCACTGGGTTTTGATTTGTAATAAACATTCTTACTTTTTATTTTTAAAAAATGATCTTTTTTACGATATGATATAATATAACTCATTATATGCCACCTAATTTAATTTTTTACGCAAGTGTTGCTAAAGAGAAGGATTAGAGAGCTTGAGATGAAGAAAAGGAGAGTGAGAGTGGAGAAGAGGAAAAGTTGAGAGTGAAATTAATGAGAGATTAGAGTTTGAGTATTTTATTTATTTCTATTTTTAGGATTAAGAAATTAGAATTTTAAAATTAATTTTTAAGTAATCTAATAAAAAATAAATAAATAAAATTCGAGTCATTTCAAGTGACCAAATCCATTTGGATTCGGATAATTTTAATCCGAATCATTTCAAATTTCAGATTAACACATAGGACTCATAACCCTACTCATAACGGATGGAGTGGGTCGGATTTTCAAATTTATTCCAATTTTGCTAGGTTACTTTGAAGGTAAACTTGTTCAAAAGAAAAGCATAAAGTATGATTTTGCCTATCTTTTTACATCCGTTAATCTTTCCTAGTTTGCCTGACCTTGTTTCTATCTTCCATCTGATTACGTTTACTTTGAAGATAAACTTGTTCAAAAGAAAAGCATAGAGCATGATTTTGCTTATCTTTTTACATCCGTTAATCTTTCCTAGTTTGCTTGACCCTGTTTCTATCTTCCATCTGATTCTTTGTTACAAGTGTATTCTTAAAATTGTTAGGGTAGTGAGATTATGTATTGTACCAATACAAGCTTAGCAGAACAGGTACTTGGTAACTTCAGAACTCTGATTTTGGGATCAAGGTCGGAGTTCAAAGCAAGAAAAGTTTAGGTGCTACCACAATTTTATATTGTGGGGATGTTTTGTTGTCAAACGGAGAGTCAAAACATGCCAACCAATTCCCCATCTTGATTGGGAGGTTGGAACCCCAGCTGGAGAAGTAGATTGAGTCAAAAACAGTTGTTGGGTCAAAAAGTATGTTCGAAGAGCTGTGCTAGGGACACTCGTTCCCTAGCACTCGCCCGCACACTCTCCTCCTTGAAAATGACACGTGGTAGTTAAATTATACTGTTGAATTGTTGACCTGCTCCTTTAAATACGCTGTAAATTTTTTCTTCTATTCACTCTTTGTAATATTTTATTTTTATCGAGGGTTCTGTTAAAAAAAAAAGATATTTTTAATATTAAAATTTTTTTAATAAAAAATTTTTTATTTTATAATTTAAAATAATTTAAACTACGTGACAGTATTTTTTATAATTATATCAACGTGTGTCATCTATAATGGGGAGGGTGTGCGGGCGAGGGCAATGGGTTGAGTGTCCTGCGCACAGGTAATGTTCAAAAGAGGTATATTCTATTTAATAATATAAAAATATAAAAGTTAACACATATTGATATTTAGGACATTTATTACGACAATGAATTTTACCTTTGAGACTTTTTCGATGAATAGTTGTGATAAACGTTTTCAACATCAAAATATCCTGATTTTTTACTCTCTTTAACCGTATGTGAGTTTAAATTACTTTGGAAAAAAATTCTTTAAATTAGTTTTTTCTTTTCTTTTTTATCATAATTACGTTATATTGTTCTGGAAACTACAAAGTATCTTCTCCTTTCTTTCTTTTTTTTTTAAAATTATTAAGAGATTGTCACTAAAAACTTAAACCAAACAAATTGTTGGTCGTTAACAATTTAAAGAATTTAATGATGTTTTCCTTTCACAGGTTGCCTCCCGTATTTCATTCATTAAAACAGAAGGATTTTTCACGTATCGACTTTAATGAACCAAAGGGCATTTTCAAAGTTGTTCAACCAAAGAGAGCTCGTATAACCCTTTCTCTTTTAAACATCGTACGAGGACGGTTGGAATGCCTTCAATATGCACAGTCAAACAGCTTTGTCTTTCGGGCAATTAAATTCGATTTGATTATGACGTTAAATTTGTTAAGCTTACAAAAATTATTTTAATTTTATTTTAATTTAATTATTAAAAATAATTAATAATTAATAAAATAATTAATATTTATTATTTAATAGATTAAAATTAATTTATAAATAATTATTTATGAAAAAATTATAAATTAATAAAATTATAATTAAAATTAATGAATTTAACAAAATTTTTAATAATAATTGCCTCAGCCCAGTCAAAGTAACAAATATGCTTGTTGTCTCTCTATTCTAATTGTAAGTTGTATCACTTTTTATTTATATGAAATATTAAGTGTTATTATTTTAGTTTTATCATTATTAACCTATATTTATAAAGACGATCAAACTTATGTTACCATTAAGTAATATGTCTTTTCAATACTTAATTATACAATTTTTATCATTTTTTAACTTATTTAAATATATGTAATGTCAAAAGGTGGGGTAACTAAAATATTATAGAGGGAATGGTTCGTTCCGGTTCAGTGGCATTGGACCTTGAGTTAGGATTGTTCACTTCCGATGGATTACACGTTCGAGTCCAACAGAAACCCTTTTCTCCCTCTCTCAATTATCTTTATAAATAATTACAAATTGTTCAAAAAAAAATATAATGAAGGAGTTTTTTCTTTTATCAATATTAAAAAAGAAATTATTTTTAAAGAATCATTGTCATCCAATAGATCATCATGATATCATCTTTTCCTCTTTCTTTTTGGTTGGATAGCTTGTCATTCTCAATTCTCATCATGGTAGCAGTGCTGACAGCTTGGCAATTCGAAAACAATACAAACACCCCAACAAACACTAAAATCTTCACCAAACTTTCTATAACTCATTGAGGAAGAGAGAAGATTTGGTTTTTATATGTATGATTGACTTAGTAAATTAAGTAGAATAGCAAAAGTGTATGTATAAAATTATTACCATTAACCATAGTTCAGAAGGGAAACAACAAAATGCAAACACTTATGTCATTTCTTCCTCTTAATTAATCATCTCCCCTAATTAAAAGCTTTATATCATAATATATCACACTGCTGAGTGCTCTCTTGCCCTTAGTTATAGAGACACACGCCTAAGATTGAATCCGAATTG